GGTAAGCAGAGCGTGATGAGACAATTGAGATAAATATATTCATTAGTCTTAGGGTTGGGTTCGTTAGTCTTGGAGGTAGTGTTATCGTTAGTGCTCATTTTTCGTTCCTAAATACAAAAAACATAGTAAGTAAAAAGTCATCTTCATAGACTGTATTAAACGGTAAATCCATTACTTTAAAAATAAATGGGCAAGTGAACCAAGTAAAAATATATATGAGCAAAAAATAACGTTATTGCTAGATGTGGAGCATCCTCATTTTATAAGACTTATCTTATGGGTGGGAACTTGCTTATTTTTATACCGCTTATTCGATAGATCCCGCCTTCTCGCAATACTTGCTCGAAGCCAGATATAGTTAGTTAACAGATTTCAAAATATATTGGTTTACTATATATCGTTTTTTTCGCAAGCTCAAAAAAAACTCGAACCTACAATACATAAAAATTTTGATTATAATGACATATTGTTCTGAAATTCTCACAACTGAATCATTAGGAACAATAAGATAATTAAGTCCAATTTCTGGCATTTTGCTTTTCCTAAATATTAATGTCTATAGTAAGTAAAGTTTTGTTCTGTTGGCTGAACTTCCACATACTCCTTCATGCTTTATATCTTTCTGGGAAAAGAGCGCCAAGCTGGAAAGTATAAGGCACGATTAGTATTGTCATTCGATGTCAAGAGCTCTTTGAAAGTGGATGCAAATAACATCTTCTTACCTACATATGTATAAAGTTTTAGAAAAACGAAGAGAAAAAATATGTGAAAATAAAATTCCATCTGCTTTGACAAACATTTATTTTTCTAGACTGTAGTCAAGTAACTTATATCATTTTCTTCGCAACAAGCGTGTAATATTTCCAATACATTATTATATTCTATAAAATCTTTTTCAGACCAAATATCTTCACTCGATAACCTTTCTAGTCTTTCTAAATGGAGGGAGAAATCAAATGTAAAATTTCTACTATTTTTAATTCTACTCTCCCATGCGCTTAATATTTTCTCAATTTCTTCACAACGGGAAATTATGCAGAAGAGCATACTAATATTTTGTAACTGTTCTTCGTCAGTACCTAAATCGGTACCCACTTTAATGATATGTCTTCGAGTGTAACTCTACATAGTAGAGAGAAAAAATAAAGTTATATACCCATCTGAC